ACACAAAAAAAAAAGCTCGTTCGAAAGCAGTATTATATAGACGAATAATGATAATCTATTTTCTTTTCTTTTTCTGTTATTTTTTCTTTTATTTTTTTTTTTTTTTTTTTTATTATAATCAAGTAGTTTAACTTTAATGAGAGTTTTCGAGATAAAGATGTACTTGTTTGATTCTATTTAACGAAGTGATTCATTTCACTTGAGCCCATCGTATCTCAAATACAATTTGAGATCAAATATTATCTTTTAAGATGACAAAATCTTTTCTTCGTATATATTAATATATAATATATGTATATATATATGTATATACATATATATTATGTATTTCGTGATTGCAAAAATTGAACGTCTACAATGATGTTCTCGTAGTTTTATTAAAATAGAAAGTAAATATCTTGACAAAGGAAAAAAGAAAAGCTCCTACCTTGCTCTTGTGAATATGTTGATGTTGATACTCGCTGTCGAATTCAGGCTCACTGAAATAACTTTGATCCTCCCAATGAGGTGGCAATCCTCCACCGCCTGGTATACCCAATGGACCAGGCAATCCAGCGACTCCATCGGCACTTTCGAATAATTTTAAAACGCTTCTATCCCTGATATCTCGTAGATGTAACCTACGAATTAAAATAGGATCAATCGTATAACGTATTATGAATTTGTTTTTATGAAATTAAGAAAAAGAAAAAAAAAAAAAAAAAAAAAGAAAAAACAGATTATGAAGAAGAAAAAGTTATCAAATCGATACGAACGAATCCAAATATTAATAATGACGTGTCTAGGATTTGATTAAAAATAAATAAATAAATAAATAAATAAATAAATAAATAAATAAATAAATAAATAAACAAATAATAAGAATAAGAAAAAGTTTGATAAAAAATTTGGATAAATTAATTCCTTACCTGTGATCTTCTAGCTCGTAGAAGACGTTCTTGTTACTATCGTGTATGTAAACCTTTACATGTGGACTGTCGAGATATTCCATAGTTAACTGTTTTGGAAAGCTTCTGACGAAGAGAGCCTTTACAGTGTCTATGCTGGTTATTTCGTTTGGGAGAAGTGCCCTCTTCGTCTCGTTCCTGTACTGTAGGAACACCAGTCCTGGGGAATCGTCAACAGAAACGAATCGTTCTATCAGTGAAAGCGTTTATCAAAGTGATCCGATATTAAAAACATTTTAAATATCACACTTATGTAGATATGTTATGTATCATCTATGTTAAATTTTTTGTTTTCTTTTTTTTTTTTTTTATAAAAATTATTATCGAAAATTTTGACGATTCTAAAATCATTCGTATCAGGATATACGAAAAAGGTTTTTTTTTTTGTGTCTATGTACAATATATCCTTTCAATAAGTTTCATATTTTATTCCATTGTCAGTATAATTATTTGTTATTTTGTATCTAAATTTTTTTTTAATTTTACATAATAACAAGACAAAAGATTAGATTGTAAAGGATTAATAAAAATTATATATGTCGTTGAGAAGGAAAACATATTCGCGTCTGACTTTTCTCTATGTTTGATACATATTGACACATACGAATCTACATATGATGATTTAGAAGTAAAATAAATTAATGAATAATAATAATGATTATAATAATAATAATAATAAGTTATATGCTCGTGGGTCGTGAGTTACCTAATGGTCGCTCCAAAGTTTTACTTGGAGTTCGGACAACGGGTAGGCTACTTCTTTGTTTTCCACCCCTTCGAAAACCAGTACTGGAGGTCTCCACTTCGGACATGATGCCTGGATCATCGTCGAATAGCATCGTTGACGAGGGTGGCGTATAACCGCGCAGAAGAGGCGACTGAAAGAGACAAACGATCAAAAATTATTATCCCAAATTAACATGATTATTAATTTTCTTTCTTTTTATCATTAACTTAATCAATTATTTAACGATAAAGAAAATAACACAGAGTCCAAAAGTAATAAACAAATATTCTCGCATGCAACTCGTGCTACATTGGGAGAGATGCTTGTGTACGAATGTAAAAAGAAAAAATAAGAAATAAAAGGCATGACGATTCGTATCAAGAACATTTATAAAAAAAAAAAAAGAAAAAAAAAAAAAATAGAAAAAAAAATAGAAAAAAGGAAAAGAAAGAAAATATAGAAAATAACAATAACAACGACAAAATTACCTTTCTCTGGCGAGACTTGGTCCCCATCTGTAGCGGCAGCAGTACACGGAAACACACATACAAGTGAAACAGTTAGAGTAGTGTAACAAAAAAAAAAAAAAAGAAAATATAAGACGGATCAAAAATCGTCAGATGCGAATAAAAGTCCTTTCAGGTGATTAAAAAAAGATAATAATAAAAAAAAAAAAAAAAAAAACAAAATTAATCATTACTTTTCAAAACACTTTGTAGGATTATATTTAAGATTTGCAGTTTTTTAATCTAAGGGATTTGTAAGTTTACAAAATAGAGAAAAAGAAAAGAAAATCATTAAGAAGTCTTGGAAAAGGGGCTAATTGATTTTTTAAAAAGTCATTTGGATACTTTTCTCGATACACCTAGGGACTTTTGGCTCAGCCTATATAATAAAAAATATAATCTTACAAAAAACATTCTTTTTTTCTTTTTTTTTTTTCCGAGACAAATAGAGATATAGAAAGAAAAGATAATTCGATAAAATTGACCAAAATATTATTGTAAATAATAAAGTTGGCAAGACAAGATCGAGCATGAGGATTAATATCATGAATTTAATGGAAAAATTTAGTTAGAGGGTAATTAAGACAAAATTCATAGAGTAATTAAGAAAGAATTCATTCATCAATCTTATATATATATATATATATATATATATGTATATATAAAAGATTAAAAAATGGGACAGATAAATAATAATACATTTATACGTACGTATGAAATACGGGTTCCTTAGCGCAAACGAGAGAGTTTCTTTTAACTGAGAAATATTCGCAAAGGAAAGACGAGAAGATTTTGTTTCTTTTTTGTGACAAAGATGAGAACGAGGATATTATGTATGTGTGTGTGCGTGTGCCTATAGTTAATTAACTGCTTCCCTTAGTTAGACTCCTCCTTTCCTTCTTTGTGCATATATATATATATATATATATATATATATATATTTATCGTTCAACCTCGTAAACGCGCCTCTCTCTTTCGTCTTTCCTCAATCCGTTATAATACGAAGTACGTACATATATCATTATTTCTTGTATCTTTTCTCATTCTTCATTTTTTTTTAACCTTTTGCACCATGAGATCATCATCGGCTACGTTCCAATTTATTCAATTGATCCGATCAATCATTTAAAAATTATTCAGAGGGAAAATCTTGAATTATTATTTCAATTAGATTATTTATATTATTATTATTATTATTATTATTATTATTATTATTATTACTATCATTATAATAATTGCAGATAGTTAAACATTTTTATGTATACTTATTTTCTATTTTTTGTAATATTAAACTATTATGACATACTAAATATTGTGCAATTATTATTATGATACTACAAATGAATTATTTTACTATTAGATTATTTCTAAAAAGGATTAGAGTAAAATTCTTCCATCCAATGTTAATTAACACGAATTACATATTATCTATACATTCATAGATAATTACTTTTTATATATATGTGCAACATTATCTTTTATCCACGTATAATAATATTACATTACAAAACATTAGCAACATTTAGTAATAATAATAATAATAATAATAATAATAATAATAATAATAATAATAATAATAATAATAAGTTGAATAATACATTCTTTAGAAATAAAACATCTATGTAAACGGTACGTACTCCATATCGATGAGAATAATTTTATGTTGCAAAAGATTAAAAAAAGAAAAAAGAAAATAGGAAAAGTAAGAAAGAAAGAGAAAAAAAAACAAATTGTGTTCGCCGTATCGAAGAGTGCAAAAAAAGAAAGAAAGAAAAAAAGAAAAAAAGAAAAAAAATAAATAAAAAAGAAAAACGAAAGAAAATAAAATAGATGGAAAATGAAGAAGAAAAGAAAAATAAAAGAGAAATGAATAAATAAATAAATAAACAGAGAGTCGAAGTACGAATGCACGATGCTATTTATGTGTACAAAGATTCACCTCGAGATCCATGGTGCCGTATTGGCTATGGGGTGGCGGCAAGTGACGGGGATGAAGGGGGTGTAACTGTTGGCCCCCGGCGTTGAACTGCTGATGATGAAGAGAGGGTTGATGATCGCCACCAAGGGTGTGCCTTCTCGGCTCGTCCCTCGAACGACTCCCACCACCACCACCACCACTACCCGAACCGACCCTTCCACCTCCGATTTCGTTTCCTCCGACACCACCACCCCCACCGACTCCACCACCGATCCCAACCACACCTCCTCCTCCACCGCCACCTCCTCCGCCACCACCTCCTCCTCCTCCAATTCCTCCGCCTCCAGCACCGCCGCCGATGCTACCGCCGCCCCCGCCCCCGATACCGCCTCCACCACCTCCCCCGATGCTCCGTCTACCCGGCGTAAGAGTAAGCTCGTTCGAGCCGACTTCACCCTCCACCCTGCCGGATCCACCTGGAAAATTTATTGACAATTTCTCCTTAATGCGATATAACGTTACCATTTCTTTTTTTATTTTTTCTTTTTTACTTATTATAAACTTATATTATTTATACTTATATACTTATCATAAAGACTTTTTTCTCTCTTTTATTTTCTTTTCTTATACGGAATATACTTTTACGATACGTTTTGATTTTCAAAATGAATTATTTCTTTCTTTTTCTTTCTTGTTAACTGTTTGATTCATCAGTAAATGCAGTTTTATTTTGCAGAGAGTGAGAAAGAGAGAGAGAGAGAGAGAGAGAGAGAGAGAGAGAGAGAGAAAGAGAGATCACCAAATCAATTTGACAGATTTATTGAAATATTTCTCTTTAATACACTCTTTAATTATGTTCCAATAAAATAATTTATATTCGTTGAGTAATCTTTTTTTCCTTT